AATTTCAGTAAAACTCCAATCGGTTTGTACAACATTCTCCATCTCTTAAGAAACTGTAGGAGTAGATGAACAATCACAAGAAACTGTAAGGGTAGATAAACAACCACAAGAAACTGTAGGGGTAGATGAACAACCACAAGAAACTGTAGGGGTAGATGAACAACCGGAAATTTGTGAAGCTTGTAAAATTAAGCCGTCTTCGGAGTCATTATCGTTTCGCTCAATTAATCTGGTTCATGGCTACTATTTTTGAAGATTTACAACTATCTCGTTGTACTTTAAAGTACAAGTACAAGTTTAAGTACTCCTAAGTACTTTTGCGCATTGCTTGGCATTACGACATTGATATGGTTTTGTCTGGTAGCTTTCCCGTTTTACTGAGCTTTTACTGAATAACTTATTTGATTATTTTTGGCCTTTTTTCAGAAGTTGTTTAATTTCTTGATATTTCGTTGACATCCAGTTTTCTCTTCTAGAAAAAAGTGCACTTTTTTCTAATGATTTTATTGATTAGTTTGTATTCTATTAGGATTGTTTTATATTTTCATCTTACGTCCATGAGATCCATGATGTCTTGCGTTTTCTGTCTGTACCAAGTTCTCTATCGTTTTTATTTATTTCTTAACCTTGACAGTGATTTCTGCACTTTAGTTGTGCGATGTCTATTCTTCTTCTTACTTTATCTCTTTTCACTTTCAGAAATCTTTTAATTCCAGTAGTTTTTATGTATTTCTTAAAGTTGTGGCAAAATTAAGTCTATTTTATTTTTAATAATTTTGCCCTTTCTGACTGCAGGTGATTTTCAAGTATTCTAAGATATAGTTTAAAGAAGGTGTTGACTATTAAAAGGTTGTTCTATACGCAGAATTATACAGATTGAACCAAATTAAAACGGAACATACAATTTAATACATGTCTGTTTGAACTGCATTTAAAATAGTGGACCAATATAAAACTTGGACAAAAATAAATCCATACCTGGGTATAGACATTGTATAAAATATCGTTCAACTATCTGTCTCGCAACAAAGTTGTTTGCGTAAGACGGGTTTGTCTAAGGAGGCGATAATAGTTCAGGAATTGAAGCTCGAAAAAAGTTAAAACCTCGCAATTTTTTCGTCCCGTATGTATCCAGTTGAAATTTTAGCAGAAGGTAGGTAATAGCCCAAGGATCAAAATCTATATCGAACCGAAGTGCGCTGAAGGGTTTTAGGGGTGAAAACTACCCCTAATTGTCAAAAATTATTAAATAACATATTAAACCTGAATATGGGTAAGATTTGGTTTGAATTAATTAAATAATGATTATTTTATACTTTTGAATAGAGTTTCATCATATTTCAACCCTTAAAAAGCAACCCTTGTTAGAGATTAATGTAAAAAATTACTAATTCTAAAAAAATGATTTCGCCTTGGATCGATTTGGATAAAAATTTGGATTTAACCTCAATTCATCCGCTGCTTTATAGTTTATGTCATGTCGACGAACCCTGATTGTTCTTAGGGGTGAAAACTACCTCTAATTTTCAAAAATTATAAAATATCATATTAAACCTGAATATGGGTAAAATTTGGTTTGAATTAATTAAATAATGATAGTTTCGTGCTTTTCAATAAAGTTCCATCATATTTCAACCCTTAAAAAGCGACCCTCATTAGAGATTAATATAAAAAAAATAGTAATGCGAAGAAAATGATTTCACCTTGGAACGACTTGCATAAAAATTTGGAATTAAGCTCAACTCACCCTCTGCTTTATAGTTAATGTCATGCCGATGAACCCTGATTGTTCTTAGGGGTGAAAACTACCCCTACTTTTCAAAATTTGTAAAATAATATTACAAATCCTAAGATGAGTGAAATTTGGTTTGGATTAGTTAAATAGTGAGTTTTTTATACTTAATTTATACTAAATACAAAAAAAATTATCAACATAAAAAGGCACCATATATTCTTACACATTTACATAAATAGTTGAAAATATTTACATTTATAGGTAAAACAATTATAATATTAATTTTATTCGTCATCAATTACATCTTCATCGTGATCTATGTCATCATCATCTTTCTCAATTATTGGTGGACTGTTATTGCACCCTTCACCTGAGCACCCAGAACAAGTAGAGTTACAGTATAAACCAACTTTTCTGCACCCATATGAAACGCCGCATCCTTTTTTGCATTTCCAAAAAATAATTTTCAAAAATTTATCGGGTGTAGGTTGTTTGTTCATGCGTACGGGTAATAACAAGCCATCTTTGGAAAATCATCCCCAATCTGTTGCTCTGATATTTTCATTGCCAAGTCATAGACATATGAGCAGATGTTTTATTCTGTTGTATGGGATTTCAAAATAAGAACGCTTAAAATTTCGAATGTATAACGCCCCACTAGCTAATATACCGGTTTTGTAGATTATTATGCTCCGAAATGTACTGTACTATACTAATGGAATTTTCCAGAAAAAAATTAACTGGTTTTTTTTAACGTATTTCCTTTAATTTTTAACGATAGATGTTTCTTCAAAAACGATTTGTAGAGGTTTTTAATAGCTACAAGGATCTGTGAATTAAATCTTTTTGGAACCCTTGTTTTTTAAATGGGGTGAGTTTAAAGGGCTCGAAAAAGATGGTGCTTGATCGTAAATCGATGCTTTAAACGGCTATATCTCGCCAAATATTCATTGTACATCATCATCATCATCTTGGTGCTACAGCCCATAGAGGGCCTCGACCTTCTCAAGCTTTCTACGCCATTCTGTTCTTGAATTGAACCCTGCTTGAATTTTCCAGTTACCGACTCCGATCTTCTCCGCATCTTGTGTTGCCCCATCCATCCACCTCAGCTTTGGTCTACCCCGTCGTCTCAATCCCACAGGTTGCGCTGTTAGAATCTTTTTTATCATGATTTATTGTACAACAAATCTAAATAAAGGATAATTTTAGTCATTAAAAAAGCTACAATTTGGTAATTTTTATTTTTTTCATATATTCAGTATTTTCGGGCATATTTAAAAAAAGAAGGGTAAAAAATATGAAATTGTAAATCGTTTCTCGCTTTAAGCTGTACTTTTTCTAAAACTAAGCATTTTAAATGGGTCAAACTTCTTAGACGTATTAACAATACATCTACAAAGGGAATTGCAGAAGAGTGAAGATCGATTTTAATTATGGGGGTGGTTAGGGTGTTGTTTTCCTCGATTTTTTCGTAAAAAATGAGGTATTGACCTTATTTTTTTATGATAGGTCTATTTATGCTCTTTAAAAAAGGTTTTGTGAGTTTTCTTCCAAAAATGCATCATTTTCCCGATATTTGACTTTGAATCTTTCAAATTTGGCATTTGAAGAAAACCGCTGAACATTGATATTGTATTTGTAATTGTATTTGTCTTTTTAAAAGCTACAAATTTGTTTTCTACAATTTTTTTGATAAAATGCACCATTTTCGAGTTATTCGCGAAAAATCGATTAAAAACGTGGATTTTTTCTTCTAAAAGTTGTTACTTTCAATCGCGAATAACTTGAAAAATATTATTTTATAAAAAAATGTATAGCACATTTTTTGTTTAGAATCACTTTTCTAATCGAAACCTGTAGTTAAAACGTAAAAAAAATTTTCACCCCGGAGATGGGGTGGCAACCACCCCCTAGGCTTTGGCGCACTTTGGTTCGATATAGATTTTGATCCTTAGGCTATTACCTACCTTCTGTTAAATTTCAAGTCAATCCACGCCGCACGAAAAAATTGCGAGGTGAAATGCTACATTTCCTGGACTATAACTGGTTTGACAGCATAATAAAATCGTAGATTTATATGTAGCTTTCAATTTTTATGAGTTCAGAATCCAGCAGCCCGCTAAAGTATGGGATTTTTTATAATATAATTATTTGACAATCTTTTGTTGGCCAACCAGCTACAGCAGAATTGAGCCGAAATACATTATATTCCTATGTTCCGAATTTATTTCGTTCAATCTGTATATGACTACATCCCCTATTGTTTCTGGTACCGAGACCGTATGTTCCTATGTTGTTTTCTTCAGAATCACGACCGCTTTTGGCCTTAAAGTTACCCATGATCATCGTTATTTTAACTCTTTTTGTCAGTCGTATTATTTTACCTACGTTGTTATAATAATTCTTCGGTTTCTTATTCTGACTTGTCACTTGTTTTAGCATAGACCTAAATCCCCATTTGTAACTCGTCCACCCAAAAAGCTATTGACTGCCTCGTTAGTTATCTAACATAGATAGAGTATCACGGGAAAGTAAGATTGACAATTAAGTAGAAAAACTATTAAAATGTTCTTCCTGTCCCAGAATTCCCCATTATTTAAAGCACTTCTTCTTAACGTGCCTTATCAAGTCCCCTTGACGTTGGCGATTAATATGGCGAAACTATCTCTGTCTCGAGCTATTCTAAAGAGTTGCTCAGCTTTCCTTAATCCTGTCCACTCCCTGATATTCTTCAACCAAGAGGCCTGCTTTCTACCAATTCCTCTGTGTCCTTCGATTTTACCCATAGAATATTATATCGGTCTCCCCTTACTATTGTCCAAAATAGGCCATCTTTCTACATTTGATGTTATCAAGCAGCTCGCGAGCAGCATTTGCTCTCTCAAGGACTGCCACATTTGTGAGTATACGTCTGTGCAGCCACATTTCAAAGGCCTCCAGACGATTAATAGTGGATATTTTTAATGTCCATGCTTTGACACCGTATAAGAGGACTGACCAAATGTAGCATGTAACCATGCGCTTTTGAAGTTGAAGTTGCAAGTTATCATTACAGAAGAATGACCTCATTTTTAAAAATGTCGTGCGGGCTATCTCGATTCTACATTTTATCTTTTGATCTGGATCTAGTTGTTCAGTAATATGGCAACCAAGATAATTAAAACTGGACACTCTTTAAATTAATATTATTAACTTTTTTCAAATGTAATTTTTTTTATTTTTGTTTGTGTTAATAATTTTTGTAACATTTATATATTTTCAGAAACGATTGCTTGAACAGACCTATAGATCCACGATTAAAAGAAAAATATTCCATCTTGCACATACCATGCGTGAAGAGATCGTGGTCGATTCCAATTTTTTCAAGTAAAACTAGTTTACATGGTAATAAATGCAATGACAATGTCGACAGACAGACTTATTTATACGACGATGGTAGTGAGATAGAGTCTACATACCTTTCGCAAAAAACAAATTTTAATAAAGGTAAGAACAATTAAAAAATATTTTTCATTTTTTGGATCTTTTTCTGCTTGTTGAAACAAGACTAGGTTTGATTTATTCGATTATATTTATCCTTATAAGCTGTTGCTCTGGCGCTCAGTTCCAACTCTCTCGATAATGTAGGGCATTGTTCTCTGTTACCCTTCTATACCAGAAGATTAAATCAAATAGCTGTAATTCTTAGACATAACTGCCGAAAAAACCCCAGTTTCATCTGTAAGCATTAGTTGGTTTGCTATATTTAAATGACGAGATATTTTGTGCACAGCTAAGCACAGAATTCCAAAGAGAGCACATATTTAAAGTCAGTCAGCAAACAATCTCTCTCGTGTTGATATTTAGGGTGCGTGAGATCAAGCTGTAGACTCGTACATTTCACGATATACTTAGCCTAAAATCCAACTACAGGATCACTACGTTCAAACGTAGTTAATCAAACTCACATTTATACATAATTCTAAAATTAGGAGAACACATTGATAATAGGTTGTCAATAAAAAAATAGTCGCACATATTTTTAATTCAATTAATCGTAACAAATTTTTGACAAACAATTTATTTACAGAGGTAATAGAAGTTTTCTCTTGGTATTCAACACCATTCAACTAAGATTCATATTCTTGGTATTCAGAGAGAGAATATTGCACGGAAATTTCTGTGGTTATGGCTGCAGCAAAATCTAGTCAGTAAACTTCTGTTTGATTAAAGGAACTAAGCCATATTTTCCAAACCCCTTTACCTAAAATAGTTGAAGTAGCTGCAAATGGAAATGCCTCTCCAAGAATTTTAGATACCTGATACTATGTCACTAATATACCGGATTTTTACGCAAAAATATTTCGATCGCTTGGATATAGTATAGTATAAGTATTGAAGGGCCCCATGAAAGAAACACCGAGTGGCTGGAGCTTATGGCTACAGTGGGAGAGGGGGGGTAAACTACAATTGTGTGATTTTCTCTAGCCCTTTCAATGAAATCTAGATTTTTGTACGGGTGGAATGTCCATCAAGTGTGAGCAAAACTGGGTCGTCGTCGGATGGCTTCGTAAACATCAATAAATGGTCAAACCATTGTGTGAAAATATCAGTTTGCATCCACCCTGAAGGATGACAAACAAAAGCTGTTCTAGGTGGAGTGCCGTTTTGAAGTTCTACTTTTATCCGCTTTCTAGAGAAGATGATAAAAGAAGGAATAAAAACTCCTCCAGATGACATAGAAATCACAAATATGCTGAGAACAACTATCACTGCAGATATAAGAGGTCTGACTTGCTGTCGTCCTTTAAGAGTAAAAGAGTAAAAACTTTTGTCCAGAAGAAATCCAGTTTCATCAACATTGTAAACCCTATGAGGAGGAGACAAGTGATGTTTTTGAACATCCTCTAAAATATGTATTAAACGGCCAACTATATGGCCTAGGAGACAAATTCGTTAAACTTCCCGTGCTCGAATTGGTATCACTAAAGTGTTATGATCATTTCGGCCTATCCCAGCCATCGTCAGACACTTGGGCTGATACAAATTCAAACTCGGAAAGTAAAACGAATGTCTCCCAATCTTCACTACCGTGTAGTTAGCTTATAAAGGCGCCCTCTATTTTGAAGGCCGTGAACGAAACGATATGAATAATCGTTTTCTGTATCCTTTATGCCATGCGAAATGTGCAAAGAATCAAATCTTTTAGCGAAAGCCGCTATCGCTGTATGTATTAAACGGCCAACTATATGGCCTAGGAGACAAATTCGTTAAACTTCCCGTGCTCGAATTGGTATCACTAAAGTGTTATGATCATTTCGGCCTATCCCAGCCATCGTCAGACACTTGGGCTGATACAAATTCAAACTCGGAAAGTAAAACGAATGTCTCCCAATCTTCACTACCGTGTAGTTAGCTTATAAAGGCGCCCTCTATTTTGAAGGCCGTGAACGAAACGATATGAATAATCGTTTTCTGTATCCTTTATGCCATGCGAAATGTGCAAAGAATCAAATCTTTTAGCGAAAGCCGCTATCGCTGTATGTATTAAACGGCCAACTATATGGCCTAGGAGACAAATTCGTTAAACTTCCCGTGCTCGAATTGGTATCACTAAAGTGTTATGATCATTTCGGCCTATCCCAGCCATCGTCAGACACTTGGGCTGATACAAATTCAAACTCGGAAAGTAAAACGAATGTCTCCCAATCTTCACTACCGTGTAGTTAGCTTATAAAGGCGCCCTCTATTTTGAAGGCCGTGAACGAAACGATATGAATAATCGTTTTCTGTATCCTTTATGCCATGCGAAATGTGCAAAGAATCAAATCTTTTAGCGAAAGCCGCTATCGCTGTATGTATTAAACGGCCAACTATATGGCCTAGGAGACAAATTCGTTAAACTTCCCGTGCTCGAATTGGTATCACTAAAGTGTTATGATCATTTCGGCCTATCCCAGCCATCGTCAGACACTTGGGCTGATACAAATTCAAACTCGGAAAGTAAAACGAATGTCTCCCAATCTTCACTACCGTGTAGTTAGCTTATAAAGGCGCCCTCTATTAAAGGTTAAAAAAACTTTTATATATAAAATATTCGTTTTGTTAAATGCTTGCGCCCTTGCTACTGAAGTCGCCTCAGGTGTGCTTAACACAAGCTCAGGATGGCTCTTTCTGAACCCAGTTGCCCAATCTTTTCCTGCTAGTTTCGTCTCTTTATTGAAACCATGGGGGATGTTATTCCGATCAGCCAGTTGGTAAGCAAAGCTGCGCAAATCAGCTACAGTAATACCAAAAAAACGTACCTCCATCTCAAGAGATAATTTACCAACTGCTGTTCTTGTTCTTCGTTTAAAACTGCTCGAAAATGACCTAATACTTTTTTATTGTCAGTGGCGTCTTGATTTTTATTTAGTACGCGACGGTTTAGTGTGTTCCTAGGTTTTAGCAGCCATTTTATAAGGCATTGGTCTTTGCATCGCTGCGGGGTCCCATGACTGCTGATGACTTTTCCTCTGATATTTTGACACCATAGCTATACCTGAAAAAAAAAAACGTTTTTAGTATTACATGTTAAATAGCATTAAAATATGAACGTAACACGGCGTTTTCACCTTAAATAAAGCTACAATAATAATAATTAATTGTATACAGTAATGTTAATTTATTCTTCTTTATGTGCCGTCTTCTATCGAAGGTTGGCGACCATCAAACGATAGGTTGCTCTGTTTTGTGCCGCATATATTATGTTAATGCAGTTAATTTATTGTATCATGTAAATACGTAGTACAATAAGTGATCTTGGAATGTAATTACTAGTCTACATTACTTTACCAGATTTTAATCCGTAAGAATTAAAATAAAACATACGCTATTTGAAATGCTCAATAGTTTTATAAACAACATACCTACAATACTGTTGTTTTTCAAAGAAAATATATTTGCTTTATGTCGGGAATAGTGGTCACAGACATGGCTACTTTGCCCACTTCGCCGCGATTATATAAATGCCACATTACCGGCTAAACCAGGGGTGTCCAACTTGCAATGCCTCAAGGGCCAAAACTAAAACCTTTGATGTTGTCGCGGGCCATACAATAATTTTGTTACAAGTAATAACAAAATAAAGTGAGGTATAAAAATAATTAAAACAAAAAAGAGTATTATTTCTTTTATTGCTCAACAACTACATTTTTTTACAAACGGAAAATTTATTAATAACACTTTTCAATAATCAAGACAAACATTGCAAAAGCAACGAAAAAGATGTATCCAATTAGTGTGAGGACTGTGGTCGATCGGCTTCATCCACCAATGAAGAAATGTCCACCTCCAGTTCAGTTGTGGACACTCTCATAAGATGACGTAAGAAAGAATCGGTAAGGTTGCTTTTGTTTTTATTTTTTATGTATTTCATGGAGAAAAAGGTACTTTCACATGTATATGTGCTTCCGAACATTGACGTCATTTTCAGTCCAAAATCTCGCAGGTTTGGGAATTTCTACTTTGACAGTAATTTGAAAAATTCAGGTCCATTTTCCTGTCTGGTGATTAGGAACATGTCTGCTTGAAGATCACATAATTTAAGCTGTAAGTTGGGTGGTTGATCATCAATGGTGGCTCCAAGAGGGTTATTATAAAGTAGTACACTGCTTTTGAGACTTTCAATTTCTTCAAATCTTGTATTGAATTCATCAATAACTTGTTCAATTTGTGAAATGCAGGATAAAAACTTAATATTTTCCTCACCGTTGAATTCTTCTGCTATTTGCAGACAGCTAGGAAAGTGTGTCAGGTTGTTCTTTTCCAAAGCACGTTTAAACACGTTCAGCTTATTCCGGAATCCGTTTATCATTCCGATTAAATCTGAAACCGTCTGGTTTCTTCCTTGAAGACTCAAGTTTAACATATAAAGTTGATTAGTCAGATCTGTTATAAAAGCTAACTGTCTTAAGAATTCTGAATCCTTAAACTTCTCTTCCAGTTTAGTTGTGTCAGATGAAACGTATTTGTTGAGGAATGCAGGGATTTCCTTTCTTATGACTTCTTATGGCAAAAAATCGTTCCATGCACTTTCCTGCACTCAGCCACCTTACATGGTTATACATTAGCAAGTCTCCATACTCAGCCTCTGTTTCCACTAAAAACTGCCTAAGTTGACTGTGTAAAAGAGATCGATTTCCACCTCTAATTATATTTATAATCTTATGGTTTGGAAAACTTGATCTTCCTTGACTGATTTTCCACATAAATCTCCCTGATATATAATACAATGAATTGTTGGGCAAGTGACACCATTCTCTCGAAGCAGACTTACTAATCCAATTTTTTACCTATCATTGATGTTGCCCCGTCTGTTGCTATGGCTGAACATTTATCAAAGCCTCCAATTCTGTCAACTGTTTTCTTCACAGCCTCATAGATGTCTTTTCCTTTTGTTGTTCCATGAAGAGGACAAATATCAAATAACTCCTCTTTACTGGTAAAATTATCAAAAGTATTGCGCACAAATATTAACAGCTGACTAACATCGGTTTGATCAGAGCTGTCATCCAAACAAAGTGAGAAATATGAACTTTTCTTAACCAGCCTAAGCATAGATTTTTCTACTTGCTCACCCATAGCAACAATCCTTCTTTGTATGGTTTGATGTAAAAGTGGCACTGATTCAAATTTCTCCGCCATTTTAGAATCACCGAAAGCTTTGGCCATTTCAACAGCACATTTTTTTATCAAGTTGCCATCAGTGAAAGGTTTTTTTGCCTTTGCCAGCTCAAGCGACACGGCATAAGATGCATGCAAAGAATGCGTTTGAGAGTGTTATATCTTACTGAACATGTTAGTTTGATGTTTAAGCTTTTTCTTCAAATCTGCAACTAAGGCAGGCCGACTTTCATTTGTGTACGTAGCATACAACTTAGCATTGTGTACTCATTTTTATGCACTGCTGTGTAATGTCTTTTCACATTATATTCTTTAGGTACTGAAACGACATTCATGCACACTAAGCACTGCAACTTTACATTATTGTTAGCAATCAAGTAATCACTCTTCCAACTTTCTTTGTAAATTCTGTTCTTACTATCAATTTTTCGTTTTACTGGTTTTACACTCATTATTGTATAAGAGGAATCAAGACAAAGAATTAATCAAGTTCACTGTTCACTAGCAACATAATAGATTAGCCGACTAGCCTACGTGTCAGTAGCACACTGGCACGATTGCGGCTGGCGACGGATGGTAAGCAGTGGGAGGTGTGGCCTGCGTGAACTGTGATGCGCAGTAATCAGTGCAGTTCTCATAGTAGTGGAGGAAGATTGTGTTCGTTACACGTCCGCGAAGCGGCACGCGGTACAGTACTTGTGATGTAAAAACACTGCTAAACCATAAAATATAAAATAAATTAAAAAATCTTTTTTCGGTGGCAGCATTTAAAGAAAATATATAGTTTTCGAAAATCTTACGTGGGTCACAACAAATAGCCTCATGCGGCCCGCGGGTCGCCAGTTGGACAACCCTAGGCTAAACGAAACGAGCAAGGTGTTACACAGACACACAACTTTTAAAGAAATGATCAGAACAGCTTGCACGTTTAACACATCTAAAATTACGTTCAAATGAAAGAGTTGACGGGTCCGTCGCATTGTATCAACACCATACTGTGCAGTAACAACCAGTGGCCACTATGCCCGCAGTGGCCACTATGCTCTTTCTTCCCCTACAGTACACATGTTGTTTATACGACACTTCTAACAGTTTGTCAAACAAATGCGAAAATAATTAAAATTATTTCACACTAAACACTATTAAAAAACTATTATTCGATATATTCTGTTTGTTTTTACTACACTAATTTTTTAAATGTCTAAATGCTGTTAAGTAATTTTGAAAGTTATTAGTTAGATATAGTGCAAGATTATCTTTTAATAAAAAAAAGAGGTTAGTCTTTGTAAATGGGTATATTCATTTAAAAAACCCTTAAAAGGGCTACATCAATAAAACAAACGTTTTCGGACCACACAGTCCATCATCAGGTTTTAAAATCGAAAAATGCTAGGTCACAATGCCTGAACCACCAAAATACTAGGGTAAAAACCTTTTGAATTACATTTAGTTATAAAAGATTGTACATTGTGTTGTAAAATAACTGTGATGTTCAGTATTAAATTAAATTTGGCTAGAGGTAACACATGGCTGAAGCGAGTTCCAGAGCCGGTGAGAGAGAACCTCTACACGCGGAGAACAGCTGGGAACTCATTGAATATACTCATTTACAAAGACTAACCTCTTTTTTGTGATACATGGTATACAGCCAGCTACAGGAATTTTTTCCTTGTGGATTTTATCTTTTAATACTTTTTTCTTTCTTTTAGAATGTCCCAGAGAATTCACAGTCATTCTGTTTACAATGGGAGCAGTCTGTGGAATCTTGTTAGCTTCCCTACTAATTTATATAATATTTGGTAATGACATACTTCATGTCTTTTTCAAGCAAAGGGAACCCCCGGACGCATCTATAAAGTCATACGTTAAGTACGTTGGAGGAGGCCTAATATACATTATAACACGATTCTTTAAAGTTATGGGAGAAGTTTTGTCTATACCTGTAAGTATTATTAAAATACGTGAGTTATAAAGTGCTATTCCTTAGTAGACAAAGTGGGAAAATAATATTTACTATACGCCAAACCGTTCGCTTTGCGAAAATAGTGGTAATATTTTATGTCTCGGATATGTAATGCCTCTGTTAAAATGTTCCCAAGCTCAGTTCCCATTGCTCATAATACAACATATTTATAGTAACACACAGAAATCATTCACAGATCCTTGTGATCACATATAACAAAATCTAAAACACATTTAGTATTATCTAACAAATAATTTTGGACTTTCGAAGTTTAGAATAAATATTAATGATTTAGTCCCAAAATGACAGTTACAATAATTTTGATAAAAGCGTTTGTGGCAGTTTCAGATTTTGGCAAGAGCGCTGGAAACATTTGGGCAAATATAGTGTTGTGATATTTTCTAAATGTGAAAAGTTTCAAAAAAAATATTGTTTAGTATTTTAAATTATTTACATTCTAATTTTACTGTACAAAATATTTACCCCATAAATTTAATAATTTAGTTAACATTTATACGTCTACAACAAAACTAGAACAGAACTAACTGAATGTCATTTTCAGTTTAGACAGTACTCCCCATATGTCACATGAATGTCTTAAATCAGTGGTTCTTAACATTTTCAAAGCTGGGGAATACTTGACAAATCTTGAAAAAGTCGCGGAACACCATTGTGTTATTTTATAGGAAACACTAGATAAGGGGTGCAAATATAAATACAAATGTAAATAAAACACGTTCTTTAACTGCAAATACATGCAAAAACAAAATATAAGAAAAAAAACATATTCTAAAAATAGAAATTAACAAGAAATGTGTAGATTAGTAAATATATTAACAAATTAGATGTATGAGCATAACTAACATAATAACGTAAAAATTACACAAATTTAGTGCAACACTTGAACCTGATGACTTTTGCAAATTTTAGCAATGTCCGGTCTAATATGCGATAACGCTACCCTCATTTCTTCATCAATCCCCAAGTCTTTCACGTTTCTTTGTTATTATGTTTGTGAAGGTTGAAAAACCTAATTCACACAAGTATGTAGTTTGCAAACTGTAGTAATACCTTTAATGCTCTTCTAGAAAGGAGTGGGTGTTCAGCTTGCACAAAAATCCAAAATTCTTCAAGTGACATTTCAGAAAACTTTAGTTTCAGAGTGCGATCCGTAGACAAGCCTACTAACTCTTCTTCATCTTGTAATGATAGCTGATATTTCGACATATTGATCGAGATAAAATGATTTCAAATCCAATCGTAATTATCTGTATTTAGGGAAGGAAAGTAGTGATCAATGTTTTCTTCTAATAGCGTTAAATGTTCAATAATAACGGATTTCATCTCTTCAATATTTGCGCTAATACTGAGAAACATATCCGATGTGCGTTTTTCTAATATGAGATTTTTTTAAAGAGATATTTTCTTTTGAAACCCTGGTAATTTGTCAGTACAAGACAAAATATTTTCAGATTTTCCTTGGGCTCCCGTGGTAATATTATTGAGGTATATAAAAATGTCAGTCAAATATCCTAATTTGGCAAGCCAAATATTATTTTCTAAATATATTGCAAATTTATCTGTTTATCTGCACCTTCTCTTTGAAAAAATGCTAACAATTCGCATTTAAGCTCTAAAACTCGATTCAAGACTTTTTCTCTACTTAACCACCTAACTTCAGTATGCAAAAGCAAAACTTCCTGTTGTGCTTCCATTGCCGAACAAAGCTGTTTAAAAAGGCGTGTTTTTAATGGCCTTGATTTTATGTAATTGACCATTCCCACTATTTGATCTAACACAGGTTTTAAAGTATTTGGCAACGTTTTGCATACTATAATGATTCTCTGTGCAAGAAACAATGCGTATCTAATTATTATGTTTGGGGGTTTCTCGTTTTCGCAAGTGTAGCAAATTAGAAGAGTCACTGTCGTGTGGAAGAGTTTTTGTTGCCAAGATTTGTCGATGTATAACACAATGTAGTCAATGTATCCCATCACATCAGCATTTTTCTCTCTTACAAGAATAAAAAAAAATTTAAAATATATCAAAAATAATTTATGTATCCATTAAAATATTAGGTATAGGTATGTAGTAATAACATTAACTGATAACAATTATTAAAATATTAACTGATAACAAGAAAATCTTGACTATGAATCTGCAATCAATAATACTTAAATGTCTACTGTAGATCTGTAGATCTACTGTAGACCAAATCTTCTCATTAAAGGAGATACAAACGACTTGTTATGAAGGTAAAGTTCCCCTGCATGTTTTGTTTATGGATTTTGGACAAGCAAATGATAGAATCGATAGAGTCAAAATGTATCGAACAATGGAACATTTGGGTATACCAAAGAAACTGATCCTGCAAGTTAAAATGACACTAAATAAATCTACGTGTGAAATTGCTTGGCAAGATCACATATCAGATCAATTTACGGTTGCAAAAAGCTTGAGACAGGGAGATCCTTTAGCCACTATATTATTCAACTTAATGTTAGAAACTGTAATCAGAAAATGCAGCACGAAGGTGGAAGAAACGATCATGAAAAATGAGCACCACTGGTTGGCATTTGCTGTCGATCTAATGATCCTAGCAATAACCGAGAAAGAATTAAGAAGAGTTGTGAAGAAAATCATCGAAGAAGCACAGAAATTCGGATTGGAACTAAATGAAGACCAAACCAAATATATGATTATGGGAAGGACAGATGGGAAAAAAGAAAGACTTTAGTGTGAGGTCTGTAAGTGGTAAAAGCTATAGTTTTAAAGGGTGGACACATTTGAATACCTGGGTGTAGTTTTCGATGAAAATGGAAAAGAGAAATGGGAGCTCGAAGCCAGAATAGCAAAAGGTAATAAAAAGTCAGGTAGTTTAAGAGCCCTACTGAACTCAAAATATGTTTCTAGACAAGGTAAACTCAGGATAATATAAAACAGTAATTAGACCCACAGTAACATATGCCGGTGAGACATGGACATTAAATAAGATGTAAGAGGATACTCTGGAAAAAGTTTTGTTTAAAATAATTGTAATTAGTTAATATTAGGATTATGTTGTAAAAAATGCCCCAGGTCTTAACGGCCTGTTGTGCGTAAAAATAAATAAATAAATAATACTTAAAATTCAGTCGATTTTAACAATAAACACGTCTCTATCTTAAAAAAGTAAGTATAGCAGTATATCTTTTTGGTCAGGAGAGAGCGAGTGAAGAGTTTCAATGCGATAGACAGAGACAGATCAAACAACCGCAAAAGATGTTGTCACTGCTCATTACTGGCATGTTCAGTCTATGTCATCGACTTAAAATCTAAACTCGATGGTTTATGTTAAAGATAAAATATAAGTACATCTATGCAGAAGTGGAGCAGAGTCCGTCAAAAGAAACAAACAAAAACAAATAAACAAACAAATAAATAAATAAACAAACCTTCTATACTAAACAAATAAACAAAAAAACAAGTACCTAAACTAAACCTTATATACTCAAAGCAATGGCGGAAAAAATTGACAAGTGGTTTTCAAGTCCATAAAACGATTTTCCATATTTTTATAGAACCAGATATATTAAGCTTCTTAGTAACAGTGTTAGCCGAATTTATAAAAATTTTAGCAAAATTTACACTGTCAAAAGCGCTCCCGTCAAAATTTAAATTTTCATTTTTGTTAAATTGATAAAATTTACTTTGTTTACTCGATTCATTGATCCCAGTCTCAAATCATCATCATCATCATTGGCTTTTACAACTCTCCGTCAGTTTTTGCCGCGTTTACTATTGCCTTCCATTGATTCCGATCCTGTGCTATTATTTAACATGGCCTTACTTCCATCTTCTCCAGGTCTTCCCTGACTGCGTTATCACTCCGTACCACGTGGCCTGCCCATCTTAATCTATTGGCTTTTATGTATCTTACGATGTTTCCTTTCCCGAAGAGAGTCTCTATTTCATTGTTGTATCTGCTCTTCCATTCATTTGGCACGCTGTCCCTGCAAGGACCATATATAATTCGCAGGATTTTGCGTTCCCATACTAATAGCTTATTGATTTCTTTTTTTCTCAATGTCCATGTTTCACTTCCATATGTCACTACTGGTCGTATTATGATTTTGTACATTTGGATTTTGGCACGCCTTGAGAGAAGCTTTGACCTCATTAGATGTTGAATGGCAAAGAATGATTTATTCCCCGCCAGTATTCGTATTTCAACCTCCCATTCTCCTGTGTTTTCACTGGTAATTGTTGCTCCTAGGTATTTGAATTCTTTGACCACCTCAAAATTATGATCATTTATGGTAATGTTTTGTCTTATTCGCTGTCGTTCCTTTTTTGATACGACCATGTATTTAGTTTTTTCTTCGTTTATTTTCAGGCCTACGCTTAGTGTTGCTTCTTCAAAGTGCGATACTATATCCTTAACTTTATACTCCAGTCGTCAGAGACAAAAAAGCCAATGAACTTTAAGAAACCATACAAACAAGCTGAATTTTTCCGAAAATGTTAATTTTGTGACTCCAAAAATATGCAAAAGTTTACTCTTCCTATACCTCCTAGCTTCCCTCTGAAACCACCACCGCTCGTAGGGGAAAAAACGGACAAAATCGATGTACCAAGAATATGTGCGTCGTAGAATGAAATATTTCAAATAAAAAATGTAGCTGAGACAATTTTTTTAAAAAATGTTCATTAGCACTTTTTGTGTAAAATAAACTGTTCTCGCAGAATTATCGCTTGAAGAGACGCAGCTTCGCAGTCGATGTCAGTTTTAAATAAAATTTGTAATAATTCGACGGCTAAAATTTATTAGGATGGATAGATGATTGGTGTGGTAAAAAAAGATAAAATACACAATCAATTTATTAGGTAAAGTCTCGGTGTAGCTCGAAACAATATGAAATATGGCTGTCACGTCCCTAGAAGAAGTATTTAGAGAAGGAAGACCAAAGCAGATCTCTAGTGGAAGACAGTTAAATAAG